AAAGTTCTGAGAAATTTAAGAACAAAAATAAAATATTTTGGTATGTAATATTTTTCAGTAGTGGCCAATGACCTGAAAAATACAGATTCTGTGCCGATGAGATGTCCTACAGGCAGGATAGTTTGTGGCATTGTGATGAGAGGGAACGGGAGGGTAAGAATTGGTAACAGCGTAGGAACGAATGTGGTAGTCATTCACCAGTATATCTACTGAATTTACTGTACCACATTTAAGAAGCTTACATTGAGCTTCACATTCTTCAGACATATACACTTCAATTTAATCCTAATTAAAATTCATTTATATTGTTGGTGAATCTGTAACTGACCAGTCTCTGCCACTCTGTTAGTGATTTATATAGAATGGAAGTAAACATTGAATTCATAATGCATTTTCTTAATTGATTCAGCTCTCCTTTATACTTGTAAACCTTTAATACAGTCATAATGTTATGATGTTTTTTTTATGGATCATGTCAACTGTCAGTTACAAGGCCATGTGATGTGTGCAGGTTGGTTGTGCAGATGTGGTTCTGTTTTGGAGGATCCAGCAGATGCTCAAGGTGACAGCCAATGCACTCAGACAGCAGATTATGAACAGGGAAGGTGAGAAAACTACTTTGAATCCAGATGGAAATCAGGAAGTAAAACATTATATTTAGAAATTCACAAACTAGATATTAAATCTATTTAAAATTTGAAAATTTATTACAGCAGTATAAGGAATCTGATAATATTGTACGTACTTCACCAGCAGTGTACAAAATTTATTGCAGTCATGAAGGGCACTTTATTAATAACTCAAAACACAACATTAAGATATTTAATTCTGCTTCATACCAGATGTTTACTTCTTTAATGCTCTTCAGCCTGTAAGAAAATATGGTGTCCAGAATCACGTTACCCTGTGCTTAATTTGTTCTGCAGCACGTCGCTTGGATAAAGAGATCAAAGAAGTTCTAGATGATTACAGCCAGGATATGGAGAAGCTGAAACTGCTCACAGGAAGAAGAGTCACCCTGGCAGAAGAATTGAGTAAGTTGTCACCATGTGTAACATGAGTGAACATGTTACTAGCTTTGCAAAGCCATCCAGGCATGTTTTGTGCTATAGACTTTAGTTGGAATTTGGTATGACAGACTGGCATTCTGCCGATGAACTGTTTCCTAAGACTGCGTGTAGGGGCTGGATATCAAATTTACAGACATGTAGTCTGTTTGTATAAATGCTCATATTTTCAGCTTAATAAAAGTAAACAGTTCTATATAAAAAAGAAGCTATTTACTTTATGCATGCTTATGTGCTTTCTTTAACATTTTGGATACTTTATTGACTTTGACAAAATTTCTGTAGACATAATCAGTCATCACAGAAGTAATTGAGACACTGAATACTAATATTCAAAGCTATAAGCCGGCGTAGCTCAGTCAGTATAATGACTGGCTATGGACTGGGTGACCAGGGTTCAATCCCCAACAGGGGTAGAGGATTTTTCCTCTAGCCTCTGCATCCAGACCAGTTCTGGGGCCCACCCAGCCTTCTATCTAATGGGTACTGGGGTTCTTTCCCAGGGGTAAAGTGTGGCTGGGGTGTGATGCTGACCACTCACCCCCATCTAGTGCTGAGGTCAAGAATGAGTAGGATCTATATTGCCTCTCCCCCCAAGCACCTACATGGTGTATGGTGGGACAGCTTTATTTTTTACTTTACTTTTATGTTCAAAGCTAATGAAGAGCAGTCATATGACACTGCATTGATATAAATCTTACTTTTTGCTTATTGTTCATTAAATATTAATCCCATTGTATATGTGATGTGAGATTTTTATAGGATTGGCATAATAAAAAGACACATTGCAGCACAAATTTTAAAAGCTTTTATAGCAGGTTCTGATAATCAGACCAGTGATAGTAATGCACTATGTAGCATTTGTAAAAAATCCATGTTGTTTGGAATTTATTCAAATGAGGCGCACACACAACAAAGGATATGTTTAATTTTCTTCATTGCCACTTTATAGGAATTCTTCTGCAGATTCTTGATAATACTATAAGCTTTATGGAGTTGTTACATGAGCATGGGAAGCCATGGAATGTGAAGTCATATAACATTCACACTGTTTCTGTTTAATTTTTCAGAACGTGTTAGACAGATCCAAGAGAAACTAGAAGAGTTTATTGAAGCACTTAATCATGAAAAGTAATCAAATTAAATGATTTTCAGGATTTGTGTAAGTGCACCTGTAGAACTGAAGTTTACTACTACTGGATTGTGTAACAGGGACTTAAATTAATCCGATTACAGTTTGCATAATAACAAAAATTAAGTTATTATTGCAAATTGTCATTACATATTTCATAGATAGGCTAATGAGAGATGTGTACAGATATAACATCCAGTGACTGTATAATGAAAAAGAAATAAAACAGTTGTATATTTACTATAGAACTTTTCAGTATCATCTCTACGGTCTCCCATATGTGAAAGAAGTAGGAAATAAAGCTGTAAAACAGTTTGGGCCCATAAAGACACCGAAGTGGAAAACATTTCAGTCATACAAGCATGGAATGAATGTGATAAAATTCAGTGTTATCAAATATTTGTTCAGATTTAGGTTACAAAATAAAAACCAGTTGTATGTGACAATTTATGCCTGCAATAGCTTTTTAACTATATGACTAATTATATTATATTTCTGCAGAAATTAAATTATAACACATATCCAAACTGGAGCACTATAAAACATGGAGTTCCTCAAGGTTCCATACCTGGTCCTCTACTCTTCCTCTTATATCACTGATCTATGAGCCTGGGTAGCTCAGTCAGTACAGTGACTACAGACTGGATGACAGGTTTCATCCCCAACAGGGGCAGAGGATTTTTCCTCTGGCCTCTGCATCCAGACTAGCTCTAGGGCCTACCCAGCCTCTTGTCCAGTGGGTACTGGGGTCCTTTCCCGGGGGTTAAGCATGGCAGGGGAGTGATGCTGGCCACTCAGCCCTATCTAGTGCCAAGGTTAAGAATGAATAGAAGCGTTAAAAGGGATTATGAAATCTAATTGTGTACATAAAAGCAGTAAAATAAGGGTACATAAGACCATCATCAGGAGTATCCTCTGATATGCAAGTGAGCTCTGGACACTGACAAAGAAAACAGAAATGATGCTGGGCGCACTTGAAAGGAAGATCTTCAGAAGAATCTTTGGACCAGTACAGGAAAACTCAAAGTGGAGGATATGCTACAATCACGAGCTATATAGACTATATAAAAGTGATGATATAGTAACTCACATTAAACTGAGAAGGTTGGAATGGGCTGGACATGTCTACAGGATGGAAGAGTATAGGATATCCAAAAAAATACTGGAAGGAACAATATATGGGAGAAGGCCAGTGGGGAGACCTAAAGGTAGATGGCTGGATGCAGTGACGACTGACTCCAGAAATCTCCTTGGAACAGCAGCTTGGAGAAGGATAGCGTTGGATAGAGAGAATTGGAGGAAGAAGATAGAGGAGGCTAGGGCTCGATTTTGGGCTGTTACGCCATAGTAGTAGTAGTAGTAGTTTGTTATGATGATAAAATTCTGAATTTGTAGATGGCAGTCTTCTGGGACGATGTGCTGTGCAGCATGGAAGTTACCCAGAGCTTATCACCCTAATGACGGAGACAGTATCAACCTCCAATTCATCTGTCAGTTTCTACCAGACTGCATGGTACAATATCCCAGACAACAGCCATCTTATGCTTGACACTGTCAGAACGTACAATCTCACACCAGAGTTTCATATGGTAGAAACTGGACTCTTGTAGCATGTATTCATTTTCACAATAAATTTTTGAACTGTGGTTATTCTTTCTCGGACACTTATTATATTTATTTATTTAGTGTTCTGTCTGACGACAGGTCCATATGAACAGGATCCTTCCATCCTTTTCTCGGACTGGGACTTGTTCATATACGTTCTTGGCAGATGATCCAGAAGTGGTTTGCCATTGCCCTCTTCTGTGTGTGAATGGAGTAATTGTTGGGATGCCACGGAGAAACCGGGGAAGCCCCCGGAGGAAAACTACGTGTTGCCTAGACCACGGCTTTGCCCAACACAAGTTATAAATTAGGGCACTACATACCATAAAAATAACAATACTGTTTTCTGGCTGTAACAATGAGTGATATAATGCCAATCTTCAAATTGAAGTACCTCTTGCCCACAAAAGGTGGCAATGAAATTTCCATATGCAACTTATAAAAACAAAAGCTAAAATATGTTTGTCACCTGAAAGCTAAACATGTTCCAGAATGCCCTACTATCACTAATACAGCCAAGTAACAGTGAAATTGTTCATAAATCTTGGTGTAACCAATAAAAACTACTTTGTAAATTAATTTAACAGACATGCAAATTTATATATTCCATACATTTGCAGTCACTTGTACAACAGTGTACCAAAAGTTGGCATCATTCTGCAAAACAAGTAATCACCATCAAATACAACTGCTCAATACAATTAATTTGTTATAATATTTCACAGAACAGAAGGCAAAAGTCTGGTTCCATATGTCCACCATAAGTAAAGTTTCACATAGTGAACAAATCAGTCCACTAATAATATATCATTTCATCTGCCTCGCCAACTTCTTTCCGAAAACTATTTATACACTGCACGAAGTATATGGGACTACTTAACGCACCCAAGTACTATTAAGAAATGAGGTTATGTATTTCCTTTGAACGTAGGGTGAAGAACAATATGCTTATAATTTAAGTTGAGGTGCATTGTCCTTAAGATCCTTTTCACTTGCATCTACTCCCTCTTGCAAAAGATGTTTATTTTCATCAACTTCTTTAATTTTTTTCATTGGTCTTGTTACTGTGAAATACTTATGGAACCTCATACCCAGTAGAAAACAGCCATACAACGTAACACCAATACACGTTAGTACTACTCCTTTATGCAATGTTTCAACTACTTGATTTCTTGTTCGGCGTTTAATCATAGTGATATTATATACTGATGTATTTGGACAACAGTTACGTAGGTTCCTTCACACAGCAGCAGTCTCAAATTTACGCTTTGCACGTATACCACCATAAATTTTTCTGTTTCAGTGTAGGCACAGCTAGCAATCTCGTGGACAACTGTGAGATTATCTATCACAACCACAGATATTACACACTGACCAGTACTTTGCTCCATAGAGTTCCGACTCTGCCCGTAGTTCAAGATTCTGGTTGATAGATGGTAGCTCAAATCTTGTCATTATTTTCCCATTTTCACTTAGATTCTTCTTTGCGAATAATTGCTCCTAACAGACAATGTGTGTTTATCATATACAGAGATGAATTTAAGTTGTAATAATTTTGTGTGTTTGTCGGTCTTGTTTAGTTGACACGTTCTTTTCAGTGTTTCTTGGACATGGTGGTATCCAATATGGTGTCTGCTTAAGAGAAGTAATATGGTGAATTTGGGCTGTTTGAATGTATTTGTGGCTGAGTTTTCGAAACGTGTGTCAGTTTAACGGGTTTATCAGTAACGATGACATCGAGAAGGTATGTAATATTATAACGCAGTACGTATGTGTGTGTATATATTTTTTTATTTTACTAGGCTAGCATTAGGTGTATATTTTTGTAGCATATGTCAGATGGCCCTTCCTTTGACATATCTATGAAATCACAGTTGGTGGGCAGGTCTTTGTTCGTGTTTTCTTAGTACTGTTGAACTTTATGTAACATTATCTGAAATCGTACAAATTAATCTTTAGTATATTTTTGGAGCTAGGTTCTGTAGAACAAGTTAATGAAGGGAGGAGTTGGTGTTTTTGTCAGAAATTAAATTAGATATAATGCATATTTTAGTAGAACAAGATATACCCAGAATGTTGTGCTGTACAACTGGAAACTACACCTTCTGATGTATATCTTTTAAACCATATATAAGGACACAGTAGATTTTTAGTAGTTTTTAAATATATTATTTTTATAAACCTACAGCATAATTTAGCATCTGTGGTTACATAAATATGAATTTTCTTAATGAAAGTCACCATAAGTAATGTCAAGTTTCACTGCTAACACAATTTATTCTTACAATAACTGTAAAAGTCCCAGCAACAACAAATGTTTTTATGGATGTTACTGGGAAGGAGTATTATTCAATAAAACGTGATAAGTGGACTTTCTGACAATGTTTCTTAACTGATAGTGATAAATAACTTAAAATCAGTTGCCAATAATAGAGTTACAGGAAACTAATGAGACTTAACAAATGGTCTTACAATAACAATTTTACAGCCCTTCTTATGCAACAGTCATGGTCTTGAATTAAAGTTTAACATATTTCTGAAGATACTTGTAAACATTTTATAAGTAAGCTCTCCTATTAACTCACAGTGAAGGTAGTAATGAATGGTTATTAAAATACCTTGCAATCATAAGTATCCCTTTACTTGAATTAGTAGCCACAAAATAATGAAGATTTGCATAATGCTTTACAAAACTACATACCATGTAGTTTGTAACAGAAACATTCATTACTTTGCTGTTTTTGGTTGCTATGGACCTAAGGAAGCAATTGTTGGGTAGTGGGTTGAGGTGATGGGGGCAGTAAAGGACTGACATCACTACAGTCTGAATCAGAAATAATCACACTGAAAATTTATCTGTTTTCTGAGATATATGTTTCTGCTTACTGTTTTATAAGTATGGAACTAACATATTTTAATATTATATATATTTGAAGTTTCTGGAAACTTTAATATTTACATTATAGTAGCTGCTGGCCACTGAAGAATATTGAGATGAAAAATTTGGCAGACTGCAGTTTGCGGAACACAGTGTAATTTTGTTATTCCATTCGATTGATGTACATTGACAAGATATGAATGAAAATTGAAAACTTAGACAACAAAAACAAATAAGAGCATTGTAGTAATATACATAAATTCAACATGAAATCTGAGTGGTTATTAACAGTCACATAGGACAGCAGTAAATAATGCAGTCCTAGAGAACTTATCTCAGAAATCAGTATCTGAAAGATCTTGATGCTGACATTCTGTTATAGAAAATGGCTTTATTACAAGTCCCTGCAGTTCAAAATATAACAAGTTATTCCTGCTCTTAGCACTGTGGTATGAAGTGATGTGGGGGTAAAGCTACATTCATTTTTAATCTCGTATTTATTTATAATTTATTTTGTTTGATTCAGAAGTTTATTATGATGTCCTACAATTGGTTTACTATTGTTAATTCTGAAATGATGTTTGTAATGATGATAATAAGTCTATACCAACTCTATATGGTAGAATTCTTCTTGAGAAGCTAATAGTTGCTTAGCTAGCCAGAAGTTTCCTCTTCACCTTTTAGGGAACAGGAGCACAAAAATTGAACCCCCCTCCCCCAAAAGAACTTTACCATAAAATTATAACAAACATTGAAATTTATCTCTTTCTCTGGAGGTTCATTAGCATGTTTACAGTAGCCCACCACACATCATTATTCTGGGCTAAATGAATCTATTACACACAATACCACTTTATATAAGATTTATTTTAATATTATCCTCCAAACAGTGTCTTCCATTGTGTAAGGTAATTCCAGTGAATCTGTCTAAAGTCTGAAGCTTTGTGTAACATTTCATAATTTGACAAGGAGGAATTTAGAATTTGAGACTTTCATGGCGAATACAATCAATAAAATCTTCTCGGGCAATCTGGGTTCTGATGATGGGGACAGAGTTGGTTCCTGAAACACTGGTTTACTACGGTAACCATTTGACATGCCTGATTGCCCGAGAAGATTTTATTGAAGGATGAGTTTGTTCTCCATTCAACCCCCACACTGGAGGCCTGGAGGACCAACCATTGTTGGCTGTCTGCCACTCCTTATTCCATTTATTTGCTGCTACCCTCCATATCTGGAGGCTGTCTTTACAACCAGAGCATGTGAAATGCCTTGGTGATGAGGAACTCACTTATTTGTTTAGTAGATATACAGGGCCAAAGAATTTATATATGAAGATTATTACAAGCTGGTTAATAAGAAAATCTTTTAGAGCAGATTAAATGTAGGAGCGCTTCTCTGAAATGGAGCAGTTTTTTAACCACTTTCACACTACACTATGTTTTTTAGAAATGGGTAGAAATTGGTCCCACAATAAATAGATTTCAAATACATGTAGCTCTGTAACCGCTGAGAATCAGATCTATGTTCATATACCATTAATGACTGGGAATGATGCCAGGATTAAGATCCTGAAGTCATAAGACACATTTTTTATTCTCCTTTAGTTTAACGACTTTCAAAGATATTGTTATTAACTACATCATCAATTAGTGTCATAAGAGACAACAAATGATGGTAGTTTACAGTACTTTTAAGTAGAGTTCCAGTAGGTGGAATTGCTTTCTTATGAGGTTCTGTGTTCAAACTGGAGACTAGCTATCAAGACTGCATATTTCATTGTTTTCCTCAGCCCTTCCAGGCAAATGCTGGGAAGTACCTTAAATTAGGCCATGACTGCTGCCTTTGATACAGTATTCTTTCCAGTTTCTAATTCATAAGCCATTGCGTGTGTAAATATTATTTAAGAATTCAGTTTGTACCTGTAAGAAAACATAACACTTCACCATTTCAAAGATCAATTTGTTAATGCTCTTCAAGGAAATAATCCATTTTTACACTGAGAATCAATCATAGAAGACTCGTAAATACAAAATGCAGAGTTGTGATTGTTGAAGCAGGTCATGTATATAGTTTCTATGTTTGATTTGAGATTTTTACAGCGGTGAGTATGAAGATTTCTGTCTTCTGGGTTGTTGCACTGTGTAGTCTGGTAGATGTTCTACTGGGCTCTGAAGGGTTAATTATATAATTTGATGCTGTATAGCAGTTTGAGTTACTGACAGCATCTTTAAATAAACTGTAAATAAATACAAAATGGTAGTGATTAGATTGGGCCATACAAGATAAGACTTTGCTTCTTTTATCTTGGCAAACAGCTGGTAATAATGGCTGACTGACAATCATTGAACTGACATGAAATCTGCATTTGCAGATAATAGTATCAAGTCCCCCTTTATGGAATTCCGAATACTGAAGTGGAATAATGTCATTGTGAGTTTCAGAAATGGTAACCAGTGACCTGTTAAAATATACTGCTTTGGAATGGCATTTTTTCAGGTCGTTTCAGATAAATAGAGGTGTTGTGAGATTGAGATTCTGACAGTAGTGAAGTTGTGTTCTGGGTTGTGATGCCATATGGACTCATAAGTACCCCGAAGATGGAGACAGTACTCTTATCCAAAATGTTTGAATCTACCTACGAGTCCACAACCCAGAAGAACAACATTGATAAATACACAATTTATACCACACAGAAATGATATGGTGGTGAATTCTGTATTATAGTATTCATGCTGTGTTTATTACTGTTTCATATTATCATTTGCATTCAACACAAAATTTTTTGTGAAACATCCTGTCTACATAAATTTTATTGTGAAATGTTATAGGATAAATTCGATATATAGCAACATAACATATCAAGTAAATAAAGCAAAATTTAACATGAAAGCAATAAGAAATAATAACATTAAAATGGATCCATTTGACTAAATTACAACTAGTTTGATTATGCTTCAAGTATAGAATAGCAGTGCAGAGAAAGCAGATGTAATGGCCTGATACTGGCGCGTATGAAGAAAAGTAGCAAAACATGCAATTCCCAAAAGATATTGTAAAATTGATGTCCCTTTCTGGTGAGGATAAACAGTGAAACTCTTTATCATATTGTATAAAGTGAAGCTTTCATGGCGACTGAAGTTGATGAAAGACTCTCGGGTTACAAAGTGCGTCAGGTGGCTGAATGGTGAATAAATCATATTCTCTGGCACCTGATGCGGCTTGTAGCCCAAGAGTCTTCCATCAGTCTTTATCATAATATTTTCTCATTCTACTGTTAACTTATCTCTATGAACCTGAAAAGTTAATGACATTGGTCTTGGCATTTTCCTTATTTTCTGAATGCACATTTGTATTATATAACAAGCTTAAAATTAATTTTTCATATTTGCAACACTGCTCTTCTCAGTGCTGTAATACTGAAGTTTCTCATTGTTAGCCTAATTTAAATTGAGGTTGGGAATGTTACTTTCTGTGAAGGGATGAATGAGGAACTTGGGCGTCTGGACCTATAAATCAGTGTTTTATGTGAATTCTCTGGTATTTATATTTGGTGTTTGGAAAACAAGTGTGCAAAAGTAGAATTCAGATATGTGAGATCCTGTGAAGTAAAATAATTTAAATATTTTCTTAAAGAGGGCAATTTCCATTGTGTAACTTTGGTTGATCAGTTATAGAAAATGATATATAGTAACAGCTGTATGCATGCTCTAGCAGTGTGTCTACAGTGTTACTTTGGGGAAATTTGACATGTGCTTACATTTCTTATCGGTCTTTATTGCCCAAAAGTTTATCATAGGCCTGATTATTTGTTACACATTCAATATCAGAGAATTATTATCCCTAAACCCAGCATCTTTACTGAG